TGAACCCCATTGTCTCCCAGAGCTTCCCACACCTCCCTCCCTCACTGCTACTATTCGGTGGAGCATAGCATAATTAACCTCCTGGTCTTTTTAGAATATTTATTTAATAATGTAAATGCAGTTTATGTGACATTGTTTTCATTTTTGGAAGTTTAAGTTGTTCAAGACTAAATGTCTGGCGAGTCCAGTACAATGTAGCAATTTTAACACGTGTTAAATAGCATCGGGAGTGAGGATTTCTAATGCGTAGATTGGCAAATTATCCAACAGGCTGGTCAGGCTGAAGCCTCCGGCCTGTGATTTTTATAGGCCCATGTCTAAAACGTATTCAACAATTATTTGAATTGAGAATTCCATTTTATAGATTCAGGTGCCGACTGAGTTACATCTTCATATCGTTTCATGAGCTGGCACACCTGTAAAGTTGCACCTGATCAACCACCGACAACTGCAATCACTATTGGCTGCAAATTCCATCTGGTGCTGCAGTGCACCAAGTAAATTGACTTTTTTGAATGACCGAGTCAGCCATTTGGTGTCGGCCATGCAGTTTGCATTGCCCTGCAGGCTGTAACTGAATTTGTAGTTTAAGTGAGTTTGTGTTCCAAGAGAGTGTCATTTGAAATTGAGCGTGGATGTTCTGGTGACACTGCCTAAGAATGTCGTATTGTAGTGGATACTCTCCCCTACAACTGCTGATTGGTCACTTGCCATCTGCTTACCAGCCAACCAGCAGTGAGTTCCACAAAGCAGCCCTCACATTCTAACTGAGGTGGCAGGGAATTTATTGTCAGCTGAGGGGTAGGTGATGACTTCTGAAACTTGCGTGGTGACTTCTGTGGGCAAGGAACAGACCAGGGCGACGTACTTTTGCTTGTCTTTCGTTGTTGAGCCGGTGCGAGCTGCCTCCACATGAATTATCCAGTCCTCGATGTTGTGGTTGAAGACTGGAAGAGAGATCCGTTTCTCATCCATCTTTGTGTGAGTCACTCCATGGGTCACCAACTGTAGCTTAGTGTTTGTGGCTAGTTGTCTAATTTCTCTCTGTGTTTGTCTATTTTCTCTTTGTTAGGCTCACATACATACGTACATGTAGGAGATCTCGTACTAAGGATGGAGGTGAGAAAGGAAACTCACAATGGCGCTTTCTTTATATATGTATATTATATGTACAGAACAGTCTGGTGCTGGGAAGTTGCTGCTTGGTAAAGGAGTTGCTGTGGAGGAGCTTCTTCAGAGGAGGTCTTCCCTGCTTAAGAGCTTGGTGTTGTCTGGCCCTCACGGCGAGGCAAGGGGGTACAGTCGGCCCTTAACATAAGTGAGTTTAACTTACACGGATTTGCAAATACGCGGATTGCCGCTGGAGAAATATACATTCAAAGGAATATACATTATTCAAATTGCGTGCAACACAACACAACACAACACACACACACACACACACACGCACGCACGCACGCACGCACGCACGCACACACTGCGTTCCCTCACTCCTTCGGTCAGTCAGTCTCGCTGTAACCACGCTTGTGTTGACATCAGCATTGTAGTTGCAAAAATATTACATTTCCATGAATGTATTATATCAAGCACAGTATGAATAGAATATCACTAATATAACAGTATTTTAACCGAAAACTATTTAAAAAACGAGTAACATATCTTGAACATCGGAAGGTTAGGTAAAGTCATTTGTTTTCGTGTAGTTTATCCTAATTTACATTGAAATACATTATGTTTCAGCAAGACTACTATTTATTTCTGAGAATATGGAAATGCAATATTTTTGCTGAAATGACGTACGTATTACAGTGGAAAGTGACGAAAGCAATGACTTTCGCCCTTTTTCGTTGTTCAAAAGATTTTACCGTAATCGCTTTTCGAATGGTTTTCTGTTAAAAAACTGTTGTATTACAATAATATTCTATTCTAATTCACTTGTGATGCAACAGTTTTTTAACTGAAAACGATTCGAAAAACACGTGTACCATCTAGCTGATACGGCAGAGCCCTGGTCGCAATCAGACCAGAAATTGTAGTGAAATCTTTTACGAAATGTGGGATTTCGAATGCTCTTGATGGAACAGAAGACGACTTGTGGAATTATGAGGCTAATGAGAGCATGATTGAGGATAAAGATATTGATGATCCTATGGCTGATGATGGTGTTGATCCATATGACGATACTGTTCAAGGAGAGGACTGGGAGTAGCTGTTTGGTGCTGATAACAAGGGAAATGAGTTTGATGGATTTTAATGAAAATATTCAGAAATATGGTATCATAGTATTTATTCAAGTGAATTAGGATAGAATATTATTGTACTACAACAGTTTTTAACTGAAAACCATTCGAAAAGCGATTATGGTAAAATCTTTTGAACAACGAAAGAAAGTGAGTCATTGTTTTCGTCATGATTTTATCCAACTTTCCACTGTAATACATACGTCATTTCAGCAAAAATATTACATTTCCATATTTATTTCTGAGAATATATTCATTCAGTCACAGTAAAGGTAAAATATACTTGTGATGTAATATTTTAATGAAAATACCCGGTATTTAGAAATACGGTATCGTAGTTTTCTTTTGTTTCAAATTTAATTAACAAAGATTGATGTTTCAAATGTAATGGACAAAAATTTATGTATCTATAAATAAACTTTAAAAAATTAATACTTTATGTTTTACATCGTCCTGTGCTACCATACCATGCATTTGGCTACTTTGGGCTTGCTATGATGACTCAAGAGATCTGCCCTGGCAATTGTACCGACACTCACAGCTGGTGGTGCGTCGTTTCCATTGTTTACTGGTAGTTACTGGTAAATATTTTTCAACCTAACAAAACTATTACCCGTTTAGAGGTTGATCCCTAATTTTTTGCCAAAAAATTTGGTCTTAAAAACTCGAACTACTCACAGGTATATACGGTAAATAAGGACATGGGGGGGGTGCCAGGGGTGTTTTTATGGGGGCAGCAAAATACACAGATTCTTAACATTCACGGGTATCGAGGTTACCGAACCCCCGCGTGTGTTAAAGGCCGACTGTATTTATATCATTCTGCCGGATCAAGAATCGAAATGGAAAGATGAGAAATGCTGCTGATTGGCAAAGATGAAGGCGGCAACTGACCAATCACCGCGCAGTTTGAACGCGAGGGCTGATTTGTGGAACTCGCCTCTGGTTGGCTGGTAAACAGACGGCAAGTGATCAATCAGCAGTTGTAGGGGAGAGTATCCACTACAGTATCATAATAAGTCAGGTTGGCAAAAGCTGAAAGAAAGAGAAGAATGCCAAGATCAGTTAAGGAAAGTTGTGTCTGTAACTCCAAGAATAGACTCATTCTTTTCACATGCATCTGGATCCAGTGAATAAATCTGCACGGGAACAGGAGGAAAATCCACAAATATTAAAAAAAAAAATCAGCAACAAGTGATGATGGAAGTGGTTTTCATGAAACCACTAAAGCACCTACAGAAGTGATATCTGTGACACCTGGCAGATGTAGTGATGAACTGGCAGATATTGGTGTATGGGGAATAGTGACTGAAACAACTCGCGAGTCCCTTGGTGACCATCAAAGATCAAGTGCCGTAAAATATGGATGCAGGTTTTGCATATTCGGGATAGATGGATGGGAAGCAAAAACGGTTCTTCTCTAAAAACTTGTTTAAACACTCGCATCATACACAGATCACACAATGAACTTGGATATGCTATTTGCCAACGACTGGATGAGCATACGGTTTTGTTTGCAATTTGTTCTCATCTGATGCGAACAGCTTCTCAACTATAGGCTTTTGTGACTGGAAGAATGCTAGTTAAGGTGTAGATCAGCATGAAAGCAGCAGCAGCCACTGAAAAGCTGCCATGGCTTTCAGCATGTGTACTCAGGCGAAAGGTCAAATTGACCGTCAACTTGTTGAACAACAGAAAACTGAACGTGCGTATTTGACATCCCTAGTGGAATGAATCACTGCAACAATCATGTTTTTAGCTGAGTGTGGCCTGGCTTTTCTTGGTCATAAAGAAGTGATTGGATCAGCGAGTAATGGAAACTACTTGGGAGCGTTGGAATTGTTTACAAAATTTTATCTATTCATGGCTACCCACATGGAGCGGCAAGGGAGTAACGGCAGATGTTTTGTCTCCTATTTATCTTCGACAATATGTGACAAACTGGTAGAACTGCTTGGAATGATGGCTCTCAGGCCCGTGGTTGGGTTAATCCACCCCGAGTGTAGATGCGTACCAGTATGATATACTGCACAAAATGAAACCCCCACTATTTTATTCAACAAAATATTTAGTTTTTTAGTTCAGCTTGGTGCAATTCTTGTGACTTGCATGTGGGTCACTGTGGCATGTTCTTCAGGCTGTTCTATGTATACTGTGAGTCCAAACCTTGTACAAAAAAATAAAAAAGTCACAATTACTTGTCCTTGTACAGTATAAGTGAAACAGTGCACAATAAAATTCATCTATACTGTATTGACGGCTGACTGTATTTAAATTTGGTGTAGAGTTCTGTCATGAAAAAAGAGATCTTGCTTGATTTAGGCCACAAATTATTAATTTCTGGGGATTTATACCCCATTTTTTACATATTGCAGTCAGTGGGCTATACATTATGTGTTTTACAGAAGCTTTACAGGTAGAGAACGAAGACTACAGTAAGACATTGGTAATTATCAGGTCAAAGCTCTGGGTTATACAAGTTGTCAGTAATAAAGGTGGATCACACTAAGAATGTTTCTCTTAACTGACAATATAAGTATCCATCTAATTTTACTTAATCTAAATCACAAAACTAATATCCAGAAATATTTTAGTTCAGAGACATAATTACTGCATTAATCACTATCCAAAATTTCCTTGCTGGTAAAGTGATATCATTGTCACCAATTTTCCCCTCTTGGAACACATCCTATTTTGTTTAATTGTTTTCAGATATTTATTATTTTATATAATGTTTGACGAGTTATTTTTCCTTGACAGGCTTCTCCATCCACGTCACGAGCTTTGAACACTCCATGTGACTTCTTCATGGTTTATGATAAACATGATGTATGGCATGTGACATCTGCATTGGCTCTCTTTTTCTTCTTTTTGGTAAGTACACTTGCTAGGAATTTTAAGGGAGTAATAATTTTTACAATGAATTGTATTTTAACACCCTGGCTTTTACTTTTTCCTCTTTGCCACTGATTGGCTCATTAGCCAATTGAGCGGTCAATCACCTCTCTGTTATGCACCATTGGCAAGTACTGGGCATGCACTGGCTCTTGAATATATCTGAACCTACTCCAGTGCTGGTCAAGTCTAGCCTTGAAACAGCTCACTCCCGGTGCCATTACAGCACTCTCTGGGAAGTTGTTCCAAGAGTTCACAACTCGCACTTCGAAAAAGTTTGTCCTCACAGTTTTCTGGACTTGCGGCTTCTTCAACCTTGAGCTGTGACCCCTTGTGGGGCAGGTGTCACCTACCATACTTCTGTGTCACGTACCATGCCTCTGTGTCACCTACCATACCTCTGTGTCACCTACCATGCCTCTGTGTCACCTACCATACCTCTGTGTCATGTACCATGCCTCTGTGTCACCTACCATACCTCTGTGTCACCTACCATGCCTCTGTGTCACCTACCATACCTCTGTCACCTACCATACTTCTGTGTCACCTACCATGCCTCTGTGTCACCTACCATGCCTCTGTGTCACGTACCATGCCTCTGTTTCACCTACCATACCTGTGTCACCTACCATGCCTCTGTGTCACCTACCATACCTGTGTCACCTACCATGCCTCTGTGTCACCTACCATGCCTCTGTATCATCTACTCTGATGCCTCATTCTTTGCCTGCAGTGCTGGTAAGTGTTACTTTTTTACATTTAGTAATTATATGGGTCGATAACTTTTTATTGTTGTAATTTTGTAGGAGGGGGAAAGTGCCTCGATAAGTCGAATTTGGGAGAACTCAGCAAGACTAGAGACCCCATATGTGCCAAGGTATCGAGGGTTTACTGCAATTATTTACCAAATACAACTGAAAAATCCGAAGAGTCACCGCGTGTCGTCTGTTTGTTTACAACCGATCCGCTCGGTACAAGCTTACTGTCACATCCACAAAAAACGTAAATTACACCAAGATGCTTTAACAAAATTACTTTCATTAGTACTAGATATCATAATACGTATAGTACAGTACTTTCTGTTTAATATGGCGGGGGGGGGGACTTCTTCAGCAAGGAAGTTAGGTAGATTTATTTGGTTGCTTAGATCAGGTTCTAGTAAATGTCACCTCTTTTGAAATACTTACTATAGTGATAAGAACATCTGGAAAAAAAATTAACAAAATCGAACAACTCCTTCTAGTGGTAGCGGTGTTCTCATACATTGCTCTTTTACATTAATAAGCACATTATTACAGTAACAAATCTTTATTAATTAATGAATAACAAATAAATAATGTACTCCACAATATTATATATAAATGACGATCATAAATGACGGTGAGAAGCATTTGGTGAGAGGGAGGGACACGACCCTTGCCTGAGGAGGGGAAAGGCAAACTGACTGTGTGGTCAGTTTTCCTCCTCCTTCCCACCTGCAAAAGTTAGTCACCACCTCCTGAGATGAATTTGATATAAAGATCTGGAGTAAATTCTCTATGAAACATTTCTATAAGAAGTCCTTAGACAAAATATTCCAACACGATATTATGATGGGGGACTCCATTCTTTTATAAAATAAAATTAAGAAATGTTAATACTGTTGTCATTAAAATCAGTTCTAATTAAATTAGACATGCCATTTTTTTACCAAAATAATCCTGAATGGTTTATCGAAAAGTTTGCTTCAATAAATATTTAAAAAAAAAAATCTATATGATATGGGCGTGAATGAGGCCGTTGAATTTTCCACTCTTCACATGAAAATTTACCCAAGTTTAGACATATCACGCATGGAGCTGTACACATACAATTTATTGTTAATGCAGTACTGTAAACATAATACAGTGAACCCTCGAAGATTCGGACCCGGTAAATCCGGATTTCGGAAGTCGCACAAAAAATTTGGGGGTTCTGTGCTTAGAAGCCTCCCTAAGAAGCATTCCCAAAACAGGGTGAAGGTAGTTTTAGGCTTAAAGTGTTTATCTTATAAAATGCTACAAACTAAACTTAGCAGATTATAACTTGCATTATTGGAATCCTTACAGGACAGTGAATAATTTGAGTATAAACATCACATGGTTTGCACAAGAGATAAAAAAATTTGTCCTTTAGTGTAGTACATTTGAGTACAAGTTTTTCAACTCTTATATTTTTGGGTAGATATAGTAACTTTCTTCATTTATTTTTACTCATTTACATGCACACACCATCCTAAATACATATTGTAAAAAAAGTAAAAGAAATAATTATCCTAAGGGCAAATCTGTATTCAAATGTACTAAGTAACGATCTTCAAGAGTGAAGTGCTTCCCCATCTGGAGTACTGTCACCCCGTCTGGTCCCCGAGATATACTAGGGACTGAAAGTTGGTTGAAAATGTTCAAAGGAGGGCCACCAGACTGGTGCCTGCCCTTCGTCACCTCAGCTAGTACCCTCAGAAATTGGAGCGCCTGAACTTGCCTAGCTTATGCTACAGATGGGCAAGGGGTGACCTAATTGAGGTGTATAAGCATCTCAAGGGGCACTACTCAGTTGAGTGTCCTTACTTAGAGCTGGCGGACGCTCGCCCCACAAGGGGTCACAGCTCAAGATTGAAGAAGCTGCAAGTCCAAAAAACTGTGAGGGCAAACTTTTTTGGAGTGAGAGTTGTGAACTCTTGGAACAATCTACCAGAAAGTGGGAGCTCTTTTAAGACCAGACTTGACCAACACTGGAGCCGATTCAGGTACATTCAGGAGCCATGCATGCCCGGTACTTGCCAACAATGCATAACAGAGACGTGACTGATCGCCCAAGCAGCTAACTAGCCGATTAGTGGTGAAGAGGATAAAAGTAAAAGTACATTCGCCGGAAGATTCGGACAATCGGCTTTTTCGGATAGTTGGTCCAGATCTCGAGGTGTTCACTGTAATGTACTATATACTACTACAATACTGTATTGTACATACAATACTCACCAGCAGATGCTATCATCTTGAACCCTGAGTAGGCAGACACTGTCCACTCAGTTGAATGTAATATGTAACTGTAATCACTTCTTAACACTTGCGATGGAGGGGGGGAGGGGAATTAGTGGGTCTGTTACTGACCTGACCTGATGCATTGTCAGGGTGTGGGTTTAGTGGGTCTCATAACCTGAAGATGTCTTGAATAAAGACGAAACCTAAGGTGCTCCAGTATTTCCCACTTACTGAATGTACAGTATTGTAAATGTAACTGTAATCTCTTTTACGTTCTTAACACTGCTTTAACACTGTATTCTTGACTGATTTTGTTTTGGTACAGTAATGTACAGCAATAGCACAACACATTTTATGCAAAAAACAGCAGAATATGAATTCAATGATCCAAGCAGCTAGGCCACCCATGCGCCTGACACATGGGGATGCTTTGGAGCATAATTGATGCATTGTCTTGAAACCTTGTTGTAATTTTCTCAGAAAATTAGCCTGATTTTCAATCTCGGAAACTCGTACACAGCCAATTTTTCCAATTCCGGGTATTGGAGAGTTCTAGCTTATGGGGATTCTGGTTAACAGAGTTATTACTAGCTTCATTACAAGTAAAAATAAATGTGGCGGTTGGGTTGGCGAGTCGGCCACGCAATTATAGCTCACCACCGCTACGCACACTACACATACATTTTTCTCATTTTATAGTTTTATATTATATTTTCTTTATTTCTAAGCCACATCGTTTACATAGAGCGGAGTAAGTGTTAAAGAAGTCTGTTTTTCTGAGATGCAAATTGCATTGAAGGATTTATTGGGGATCCAAAGAATGAGTTTTAGTTAACCGGAAACTCAATCCCCGTTGGTGGTGGATAACTGGGTGTCTACTGTATATGTAATTATCTTGTTTTCCTTATGAAAGTCCATTAATAGTTCTCTCTCATTTCTATTACCAAACCCATGTAGTCCTACTTCCGTTGCTTCTTTCCCTTTCCCACCTTTTGCATTAAAATAATCCATTGTAGTCAGTTCTTCATTAAACTTCACGGTGTCTTTTGTTTACAAAGAACTTAAATAATAAATAAAAAAAAGCACTGTAGACAGGCATAGAAAGAATGTCTTAAGTCTCCACTTATAATAATTTACACTCAAAATTATTTTTGCCATTGAAAGGGATGGTCCAAATATTTCATTCAACTTCCAGTAATTTGTCCTGTTCAAAGGAAGCATTTTCATGATGTGGTAAATAAAACACTTTGTTGCTACATCCAAGCTTTACTTGACTCATTTCACTACATAGCTGAAATAACACAAAAGCAAATGTTGTAACAATTCAAAGAGATATCAACAATGAACATAATGTAACATGGTGGTTTTATCCTAATACAGGAGTAATGAAATAACTAAAATGATAATTACAAACAAGAACAAAATAATATTACAATATTTTCCATAATGATATTTTAAAAATATCACATGACAAAGAGGAAGGAAATTTTCTTGATTACAAATTTTGCTAAAGAATTCATTCCAGGTGCCTTTTCAATGGAAAGAATGTCTTAAGAATACCAATGTAAATTGCAATAGGCTTTTCTTCTGGCATTTTTAATTCTGTAATTCCCAATTTTATGCTACTGTAATAATCTACAACCATTTTTCTCCATTTACAGGGTGTCCTCACATTGGACGATGATTTGTGCCACACACCATCAGACAAAATTTATGTCTTCTAGTTTTGTTCATGTTTGTATCATATGTACAGTATTCATATCTACTATTATTTTTGTGCTGCACATTTGAAATGTGTTGTATTTGACAATCAAAGATGAAAGCAGTTGTATTCTACAGTGATTTGTATGTAGAACTAAACTTGCATGCAAAGATGCATTCATATATTCTCACATTTTGTTAATGAAGTGTAGTGGATATGATGTGGATATGTAGTGAAGACTGTGTGGGTGTTTAGTGGAGATGATGTGGGTGTGTACTAAGGGGGATGTAGTGGACTTTTAGGGGAGATGATGTGGATATGTAAGTCACATCCATCATTGCTTTCATTGTAATTGTACACTCGGAAACCATATTCTCTAGCCCACCTGGGTCGGTGCTGGAGGTTAGTACAGTGTCCTTTCTGGACGGAGGCCCACAAACTATCACGAGGCAACACACGCACGAACAACACAGTCATAGTACGGCTGTATAGATGATATTATGTATAAATATTGTATATGGCATTTTATACTCTGCATTATCTTCATTATATATGAACACGAAGAAAAAATTACCATAGGTTGTAGTTACGAAAGTATGAAAGGAAATAAACACTTCCAAACCACCCAGTGAATCCACATGTCGTTTACAGTGCTTGTGACCAGACCACGATGATTCCACCTCACCTCATCTATATCTTTTATTTCCCATCATTCGCGAAACTATATGAAAAATCGTGTTTAATTTAACTACATATTTCAAAAACCTTCTCCCACCACATCTCAAAGCCCTCCACCTCGATCTTCTGCCTTGTCTTCAGAGACAATTGCTTTAATGTAGTTCATGAGGGAGGAAAGGCGTGAGGACGAATCTAGAAGACGTGTTGAGAACGAAAAAAGGAGACTGAAAGATAGTGCATGGTTTGAAACTTTGATATCTCGCCTCACTGCTAACCAAGCCCCTGGCTCTTCCACTGCTTCGGTACCATCTGATTCAGGTACCTCATCAATGCCTTCTTCACGCCCTCCAGCCCCACCCAAAGCGGCTGCTCAACCCCCACCCATCTTGAAGCCTGATGTGACTTTCCAGACTTTTCATGAATGGCGGCGACGGTGGATTGATTATGCTACAAGGGTGGATCTCCAGAGCTTGTCACAGCCTAAACAACTCATTCAGCTACGTATGTGCCTGTCTTTGGAAACGCAACGTGTCTTGGAACATACGTTGCAGGTGCCCCTGACTTCTTCGTTGTCTGTAGAGGAGGTACTGGATGTTCTACAACGGCACATCAAAGGTCAGCGGAATGAAGCTCTACACAGGAGGGAATTGTTTAGTTGTAGACAGATGGAGGGCGAGACTTTTGACGCTTTCTATGTACGACTCAGGAGAGCCTCGGAAGAGGTAGACATATGCCCCGGTAACCACCAGCAGTGCGAGGAGACCCAGTTGAAGCAGGTGATCCTGATGGGTGTGAAGGAATCGAGGAGCTTGTCTAACGCCTCACCTCCCTCGACTCTTCCTCTTCTCTTAAAGATGTGTTGACAAAATGTCGCTCTTATGAGGCTGCCAGGTGTGCCATCCGAACTCCCCCTTCAGTTGTACGGGCTATGTCCCAGTACAAGAAGGACAAGAAGTCCACTCCAACGTCTTCGCCCACCACACCCACGCCCGGCTCTTTTTGTAACAACTGTGGTAAGCAGCACGGAACACAGGCGTGTCCAGCTGCTGAGTCTACCTGCAACAGTTGTGACCATAAGGGCCACTGGTCACAGTACGGGTCCAGCCAAATGCGTCCAGTGCAATGTGTGTGGTCGTCTGGGCCACTACGACAAGTGTTGCCCTACCAACAAACCCAAGGTGGAAGCAGCAGCGCCCTTCCACCAGTGAAGGCCGCCCACAGTCATCAAATCATAGGCATGGCGACCCTGGACAACGCTCAAGCCGTATTAGGAAGGTGTACTCTCCCTTGCGTCGCAGGATCAAAGTTCCCCAGCACATCAGCGTCATCGTGACCTACGGCAGTGTGTTGTCCCGTCTCGAGATGCTGCGCCCGACACCGGCGCTGATGCTACAATCATCGGTCCCCAGCATTTGCAATGTTTGGGGCTCTCTCCAAGTGATCTAAGACCGCCCCCCAAGGATCTCTGCTTCACGGCAGATAGTTCACAGATGGCCCCAGCCCTAGGATCACTCCAAGCACATGTCACCTTTGGCAACAGGTCGTGTCAAGCCTGGATTGATGTGCATAATGGTGTCCCGACTCTCAAGTGTTGGCCATCATCTTCCAGGACTTCCCAAAACCTATTCTCGAGGTAAAACACGCCAACAGGGTGCACGAAGGGAGCAGCAACCACCCTGTCGTCGCCCTACCCCTACCTCTTGCCAGTGACACCTCTCCGGTAGTTGTCCCTGCTGCCTCACGTCCCCACATCTTGACTCGCCTTCACGACAGTCACCGTGGAGCTGAGGCCACCAAACGACATGCAAGACAGACTGTGTTCTGGCCTGGCATCGACTCCGACATCTCCAATGTTGTCCGTGCGTTTGAGCCCTGCCAAGTACTACAACCCAGCCAGCAGCAGGAACCCTTCATGAGTGACGACAACCCCACCCTTTGAGTCTGTGTCGGCCGACTTTTTCTCTGTCAGGAAAGTCCTCCCTCATTATCGTCAACCTCTGGTTGGCCGGTTGTCATCAAGTGCGGTAATGATACGACATCTGCCGCCACCATCAAGTTCCACCACAACTTCCGTGACTTGGGCGTTCCTGTGCACCTGTGAACCGACGGAGGGCCCTAGTTCACAAGCCAGGACTTTGCTGTGTTCCTTGACTGATGGGGAGTCCAGCATGTGTTGTCATCACCCCATAACCCGCAGTCAAACGGCCACGCTGAGATTGCTCTCAAATCCCTGAAGCGCTTATCCTCAAAGTGGCCCCTTCTGGGAATATTGGCTGCGAGGCCTTCGACAGGGGTCTCCTTGAACTCCGCAACACACCCAATTACACCGGACGCTCCCCTGCCCAGGTCTTGAATTGACGCCCCCTCTGTTCTTGTGTCCCTGCTCACCCTCAGTCCTTCTCCAAGGAGATGCAGGCAAAGACAGAGGATTGTGATCACTGAGCCGCCGAATGTGCTCATGATGTCGCCTCCCACTATAATGACCACGCCCGTTCTCTCCCTAAGTTGAGTGTCGGCACCCAAGTCCGTGTTCAAGACCTGACCTCCTTACGTTGGGACAAAGTGGGCGTAGTCATGGGTCTGGGTAGGTCACGGGACTACCAGGTGAGGTTACCCAGTGGCCATGTGTGGTGGAGGAACTGCAGTTTTTTTTCTGCCCTGTAACAATGCCTTCTGCTGACCCCGTCACCAGTGTTGAGCTCCATATCCTACCCAGTGATCAAGGCCCTCGACACTCAGAACGGATCCAAAAGAAAAGGTCCTCTCAAGACTTTGCTATGAGCTATAGGGTAGGTGCATGTATAGTGTGTATGTTGTATGTATATTATGTATTCCATTTATATATACTACTTATTGAGCTTAGCCAGCATCGTGTGGCAATGCCTGTACCAGGTACCACATGCTTAGATAATGTGCCTGGCAACATGTGGAAGCTGCAAATGTATAACTTGCCACATGTTGCCTGAGCGGTCAGTTGACCCATAGAGAGAGTAAGGGAAGTACCGGTTCTTGTGTACCTCTGTGCAGATCCTGCAAATAGAACCTACAAAAAACTCTACAGGTGTTTGTGTTCACTCCTGCGGTTAGAACTGAGTACTCAAAACATGTACAACCTACTTTCCTGGAAAGTAGATTACCTACTTTTCGGGTAGTAGATTATAGACTTCGGGGAAGTAGATTATCGACTTTTGGGGAAATATTAGGCCTACCTAATTTTATGAAGTAGATTATCATAGAAAACGGGAAATTTATATCACAGAAAATGGGAAATATCTACTTTCTGGGAAAGTTGGTAATCTGCTTTCCCAAAAAGTAGATTATCTACTTTCCGGCAAAGTAGATTGTCGACTTTTTGGGGAAGTAGATTATCGACTTTTGGTGAAATATTACGTAATTTTCCTAAGTACATTATCACAGAAAACGGGAAATTTGTATCACAGAAAATGGGAAAATATCTACTTTCTGGGAAAGTTGGTTATCTACTATACCAAAAAGTAGATTATCTACTTTTCAGGAAAGTAGATTGTCGACTTTTCGGGGAAGTAAATTATCGACTTTTGGGGAAATATTACCTAATTTTCCGAAGTAGATTATCATAGAAAACGGGAAATTTGTATCACAGAAAATGGGAAAATATCTACTTTCCGGGAAAGTTGGTTATCTACTTTCCCGAAAAGTAGATTATCTACTTTTCAGGAAAGTAGATTTTCGACTTTTCAGGAAAGTATATTATCGACTTTTGGGGAAATATTACCTAATTTTCCGAAGTAGATTATCATAGAAAACGGGAAATTTGTATCACAGAAAATGGGAAATATCTACTTTCCGGGAAAGTTGGTTATCTACTTTCCCGAAAAGTAGATTATTTATCTACTTTTCGGGAAAGTAGATTATTGACTTTTTGGGGAAGTAGATTATCGACTTTTGGGGAAATATTACCTAGTTTTCCGAAGTAGATTATCATAGAAAACGGGAAATTTGTATCACAGAAAATGGGAAAATATCTACTTTCCGGGAAAGTTGGTTATCTACTTTCCCGAAAAGTAGATTATCTACTTTTCAGGAAAGTAGATTTTCGACTTTTCAGGAAAGTATATTATCGACTTTTGGGGAAATATTACCTAATTTTCCGAAGTAGATTATCATAGAAAACGGGAAATTTGTATCACAGAAAATGGGAAATATCTACTTTCCGGGAAAGTTGGTTATCTACTTTCCCGAAAAGTAGATTATTTATCTACTGGGAAAGTAGATTATTGACTTTTTGGAAGTAGATTATCGACTTTTTGGGAAATATTACCTAATTTTCCGAAGTAGATTATCATAGAAAACGGAAATTTGTATCATAGAAAATGGGAAATATCTACTTTCCGGGAAAGTTGGTTATCTACTTTCCCGAAAAGTAGATTTTTCTACTTTTCGGGAAAGTAGATTATTGACTTTTTGGGGAAGTAGATTTTCGAATTTTGGGGGAAATATTACCTAATTTTCCGAAGTAGATTATCATAGAAAACGGGAAATTTGTATCATAGAAAATGGGAAATATCTACTTTCCGGGAAAGTTGGTTATCTACTTTCCCGAAAAGTAGATTATTTATCTACTTTTCGGGAAAGTAGATTATTGACTTTTTGGGGAAGTAGATTATCGACTTTTGGGGAAATATTACCTAATTTTCCGAAGTAGATTATCATAGAAAACGGGAAATTTGTATCACAGAAAATGGGAAATATCTACTTTCCGGGAAAGTTGGTTATCTACTTTCCGGAAAAGTAGATTATCTACTTTTCAGGAAAGTAGATT